CGGGATGAAACGGTTGACCAGCCACCGTGTAGGTTCAACTGTGCTCACACTTACCCAACCTCATGAATTGTGACTTGACCAGGTTGATCGGAGGGTTGACCTCTGCAGACCATTTGGAGAGGCGGTCGAGGTCCCGCTGAAGCAGGTGAAGTTTTCGAGCTGAACCGTTACGTCCGTCACATCATGATGCATAAGCAGCGAACGGCAAGCGTGGTGATTCACCAGCCACATATTCATAGCAAGCTAGGCGAATTGTTGGATAAGCACAAAATATACTCGTGGACGTAGTCAAGTGTTAACCATAGCCCGTAGTCATACTTATCACGAGCCTGTCGGGTAATTCGATGGCGGGCGTTTGAGAATGCATAGGCACGGGACGACCCTAGCAGTATCCTTCTGCACCGTGCGACTGGTGGCGGTTGCTCAGCAGCGAAGCATCTGCGCCGTGTACCGTATTGTTGATTCTTTAACCGTCCTATGCCCGGCAAAAATACATCTGAATCTAACGACAAAATATGAGGTTTAAACGTAGAAGCGAAATATAAGGTTCCTTTTGATGCACTCTTATGTTTCAGTAATGTCCCATTCCAGGGGACCTAAGACAACATTTGTATTCATGCTGATAAAGTGGGTTTTCGGCACTCGCCTTAAGTGGATATCCCGTTTTTAAAGAAGAGGTTCAATTTCAATGTAAGGGAACAATATATCGTCAGGTTGGTGGCGTAGTCATAGGCAACCCACTTGGACCCGTTCTGCCTGACACTCATGGATTGGAGAACACTGTACTGCCTGATGACTTACCAAAAGTACACTCGTACAGTAGATACCTTGACTATAAGTTCATGGTGGCTCCTACCTTTCAGCAGACAGCAGACCCACTGAAAGTTCTAACCGAATGTCACTTTGCAAGTACACTCGTCATGGACGGCGTAATAGATAAAACCTTCCGTTTTTGGAAGTGAAAGCGTCAATTTGGTTCTATTAGTGGTAGGCTGTTCAAATCCCCAGACACCGGGTGGCCGTTACATGGATGAGGTTGTGTCGTTGCAATATGTCGAAATACTGGTAGCTCGGGTTGGGTGTTGCGATGCTGTTGACTCGTTCGCCTAACTTGACAATTTGTCTACAAACGCTTCGTTAGGAAACGAGGTGACATCTTCAGTGGTTAAGGGCAATATTCTCTTTCTTAGAAGGCAAGGAGCTTCGAGTGGATTCCGAAATTGGACATGTCATTGTGCCAGTGTTGGGAAGAGCAACACACATCTATTTCCATGGACATGTCATTATTTGAGCCGATTAATCATCAATACCTTCAAGATACTCCTTCAGTACATAGTGTCAACTGTACGCAGATGTAGCATTTACTGACACTGAGGACACAATCGAAATCTACATTGGGGGTTACTACAAGGGAACCCAACACACTCGATTTCATTTGAAGATGAGGTCATGCGGCACTTTACCTGAATCAACAGAAGTGCATCATGGGGTTTTAAATTCTCAGTGATTTCCATAATCGTTCTGGTGAGTCTGACCAGCTGAATTTTTTTACCCTTCGGTGATGACCTAAAGACATGGCAGGCGCTCCAGACAGCGGACGACCATTCAAGGTGACATTGACAGAACACGTGCCAGGTTAACATGACCAAGCCTAAAAATTGTCGAACATATGCCACCGGGGAAAACTAATGAATATGGGCTGGCAGAGCATTTTTCGCATCACCATTCCATGGTAAAATTACTCGTGATGTTCGTATAGAATGACCACAGTTGCTCTTCATAGGCAGAAAACATAGTGAGAAAGTCAAAGCATAGGACTCTTGCTGACAGTGTTTGGGCGGATGGCGAAGCCAGAGATGCCAGCAGATACGCGATGACTGCGATGGAGAATGGTAAAAGGTTGACTTGGCTAAGGTTGAAATAACCGGCTTCTGATGGCCTGCTACTCATGCTGGCCGAAGTATGATTCCGTCCTGGGTTCCCCATTCAGTCGCGGGAGGTGAGTGCCAATGACAATATTCGAGGAGATGGAACATTTTTCCAATGCTATTTCGGACACAGGATATGCATACTTCAGGGTCAACCTTTGATGCATAACACACAAACGACCTACGACTTTCCCATAAATTCTAAAGAACATCTACAATGCCTATACAACGACGCGGGCGATCCGGAGAACATGTATAGATTGCGACACTCGCCAACTATATTTATTCAAGTTAAAAAAACCGGAACGAATCAGTTGTCAGCCTCAGTCTAAGATCCCATACCAGGTGAGGAGAGATAAGACGTGCTGTTGGCAGGCGTTAGAACGGAGTAAACTTTCCCAAAGATTATCACCACTGATGCCTGGTCACGCCGGCACTAAGAGTGAAACCAGTTAGAACACAGGACAAAATGTAAAGCAGCACTCAAGTTCAAATGGAACCGGAACAGTAAGAGAACCGATTTTAAACATTGTTGATACAGGGGGAAATTCTGTGGATCGATCTGCCAAAGAACAGCCGAATCGACGCAGATCATCTACACCACGATCAGTAAAATAATGCCTGTATTATTAATAGTAGGCGTGTATTCTCGGTCTCCTGCGACATGCAGTTTCCGGCTTGATCAGGACCTTACACTCATGTTACACAATTACAACCACAGAAGGGAACAAATGCGTTAAAATGTAGCTATGGCAGCAGCAGATTTGGTAGACAAAAGAAAACAGTCAAAAGGTTGCTTATAGCAATATTGTTCTAGCAGCCTCTGCTGCGCGGACCACTCGAGAAAAAAGAAGGAAAAGCAAGAAAAAGGCAAGCGGGAATCATCCTTATAAGTCGTTTTGAAATGAATATTTGTAACGGTGCAAAAAGAGGTAAGCCTCAGCACATGACTGACAATTAAGAGATGATGGGGAGGTTTTAAAACTCAGGCCTAGTTTCTAGTGGATATTCAAACTCTACTGTCGTCAGATCTGAGGACAACGACTTCCAATGGCCCATAACCTAGCGCGATAACATAAAGTGAACCCCAACTGGATCAGATTGAGGTATGGGCAACTTCAGTGCTTTTTGAGGTAAATCAGAGCCGATCTGACCTGTCCATATGCGATAAAGTAGAACCAAGTCACCACAACATCGCTTAGAATATAAAGTAAGTATGTCCAATTTGAGTGACCCTTTAGATTAGCACGGTTTCTTTAACCAGTGTAGCATTTTAGCCACAGATCGTAGGACTTGTTCAACTGCCATCATATCCAATACTAGACTAGAGGGACAAGCTGCCAATCTGTATTCTAAGTCCGGCCTAACGGTTGAGCTTAGTCTTACAAACTTTTGTGCCGTTATGATTGCGAAAGATCAGCGGATCATTCACAGCATTCTGAATCCCATTGTGATCTGCTGTCATCCAGCGTTCACTTAATGTCAAATGATAGCAACGCGCCTTGGTGAGCTCGTAGTGGCACCCAGGACACTTCATTTCTTACCCAGTAAATAGTGCATCAGTGACCCATTTGATTCTTTACGTAAAACTGATCACTGGCGAGATATATGAGCAGTTCCCACAAAAAGGACCGTTCGCAAAGTGTATCCAAAGAACCTTGCAGGGTTAGTAGACCATTGTGAACTTGGAATAAAGGTCATCCAAGATAATGCTTTCGATTCATAAGGTTAGTCGTGTACTTAGAAAGTCAACCGTAGGGTAGTCAAGAACTGACTACTGCGGGGCAACTGATAGCACACTGAAGGAAAGAGAAGCCAGATTGCTCTCAATGAAGCTTCATCGATGACCTATCAATTAATACACGCAATTCTGATGAAATCTACCATGGTGTTTACTAGGATTTGCTATACGACAACACCCGTTGGGAGTCACAATAACGCATGCTTAACACATTTGATAAGGCGAATGTGGTGTGTGAAGACTTAACGTGGCTAGTAAAATCTTTGTAGCAAAATGCACATTTCGAAAAAGGCTAGTGGACAAGTGGACACCCATCAAGGGAGTAAATATTTTTATATCTTATTCGTGTATGGTTGGCGGCACCCGGTTTCGGATTTGTCTGTCCCTGTGGCTAGCCACACAGGACGCCTGTGCCTACAGAGGGACCATGGATGGCTTGCGCTGCACCACCCACAGCTCCAACCACACACCACATATCCAGTGTAAACCCGAAGGAATAAGACCGGGAGGCATGCGGATGGGAGCCACGTTTCATCAACGGAGCCGGCCCACACTCCTTCACAGGCAAATACACGCGCTGTATTTGGGGAATCAAGCACACACAAGGCGGTGGCTGGACCGTAGCCCTCTCCACACTGAGTGCATGGAACCACTCTTCGAGCCCAGCATGACCACAAGGACCGTTCATCCCGTCCCCTCCAGCAAAGACCTACTGTCTCCTGGAGCCAGTATAGACGAGGTAGTGGGTAATAGACAGGTAGGCACCTTGTCAACCGGCACATCAAGCGCAGCCACACCGGGGATATCAAACAACAGCCAATCACCTGGGACGACAAGATGAAATAAAACAAATCCAATAATGCATACAGATACGGTGGTATAACTCTAAGCTAAATAAGCATATGATGTAAGTTGGTTAGAAACGGATCCGCCATAAGGAAAAAATGTCTACAAGTTACTTAAAATGCTACAAAACGCAACAAAGTTACCGAAGATAAGCGCAATTAATGTAAGCAACGTGGCCAGTTAATAGAAGAGTATTCAGGTAGGCAGAACAAACCAAATAAAGTGGAATGAAATTAAGCCAGCTTAAAAAGACCTGGTTTAACTAAGTGTAAGTTAGTTTAGCCCAGCTGCGGTGAAGTAGCACCATGAATGCAAAATCAGCCTCAGCATGGGGCACACAATTCGTGTATACAAGTGTGCATATCAGCACACGCTTAAGTGAAAAAGAACATTTCTCATCCACTCACTGTGCTATGGTACACGGCAGTAAAAGTGCGTGGTGAAGAATTTTGGCTTTTTCACGCAATTGACACAATAAAACTTACTGGCGAGGAAGTGTACTCAGGATCTGACCCTACTTCCTCTCGGAGTTGCCACGCCGTTGTCTGCTCTTGTCCAGAGGAACGTGAAGAGCTCAAGTCTGAATGCATCCTTTTCCACACCTTCGGAGGACGTCCTCTCTGCCCTCGTCGTGCCCTTCCAGTTTTGGGCCGTCTGCTTGATACGGCGCTAAAACCAACCGCCCTGCTAACATACCGCGTCGCGGACGAGCAAGTGAGCGTTGTCGCTCGAGGAAGCATTGCGTAGTGGCTTGGCTGTCGCGGTGACACGAATAAACTACTTCCACTTGAGGTGACGGCACTTGTGTCGAAATGATGGTACTGCCGCTGCTGTTCCCGCTCCGCTATTTTTGAGTGCTTGCTTTTCAAATGGTTTAGCATGGTGGTGGTTGTACCCGACGTGTTGAACGCCAGCTGACTGTGGCATAATATGCACTGGGTGTGTGTCAGGTCATTGAGACCAGAATCCAATTCTGGATGAAAAAAATACTTCCATACGAAAGACTTTTTTGCCCCCGCCTTGGTGTTCCATTGTGTTGGGTATCGTTGGGATACCTGAGACAGCTGATCTTTATCCACTCCTGTATACTGCGTAGTTTTCACGTTGCCCTGAGTTTGCGAATTACACGGCGAGTAGGACCGATTCACCTCCATTGATTCAAACGTTCTTTCTTTGGAGCGATTCTCTGTGGGAGGCTGAAGTTGGAGCACCAACTAGGTGAGAACAATCATGTGCTGGCTGCTACGTAGCCACCGATCGGATCTCTACACAAAGACCAGGCAATGGGGGTAGGCGCTAGATACGCGAATTGTCACTGGCCAATCACGAGTGATGTATGTCGTGTGGCCAGGGCGGCTGCTGCCGACATTATCACACCTTCCGAGCGATTTGAGAGGGGGACGCGTGCTACCGCAGTCCTCTGATTGGTCCTTGAAAATGTGGCGATGCCGTTAACATCAGCCTGATTAACATGGTACCAACCACGGATGCGGATTCGCGAGTGAGTTGAAATTTGTTTTCACACCGAAACGAGTTATTCGGCACGATCGAACTGTTGATCAAGATCGCTGTCGTGTGTCCTCAACCCGGCGGTGGAATCAGTTGCTTGGGTTAGAAGCTCCCGTTTTCATCGTGATAGCTCAGTTTGGAAACTATTCCATAAACGCCTTGGGGGCGGTTTCAGCTCGGACAACCCCGATGCATCTTGCGTTTTCCTATACTGCACTTGTATGTGCGAAAAACCGATCACCGTGATCATATTTATTAGGGAAAAAGGAGTGCCTCTAGCACGGATTTACTCCTGGGCTTAGAAAACACACTTCGTTGGTATACACTGATCGTTCGGCACAGACGATTAGTGGTATTTGTTGGTCAGTATGATTTAAAGTAGCAAATTTGACTCGATCACCCTCATGCTATCTTGTTTTACCGAACTTCTAGGTTATCATTAGGCCAGTTAATCGGTTTTGTGTATGAATCCCTGACGTTGTCACACGGTCAAGTTTACCTGTCGCATCGTATGTAAGGAGTTGTGCGTGCCAGCTGTTTTGAAATCTCTACCTACTGTGTTGTATTTCACGGACCTTTCCCGCATTCTCAGAAAATACGCAACCACAGCCAACCTGTGTCTGCTTCATCCCTCGGGTCATCAACTGGCAAGGATGGAGCTGCATTCAGGTGAGGGGACTGTGAATGAAGGTCACGATTACACGACTGATGGTTCGGCTGTCGGCCACGGTATTCTACCCCTTACGCAGCTCAATCAATTTTATCAGTGAGCTGAGAAATTACATGTGTGTGTGTGTGGGGGGGAGGGAGAGAACGTTTACCTGCTTTACGACGAAGGGAACTGCCCGTACTCATTAGAAGCAGGAACACCGATAACCTTGTCCACGAAATTCAGGCTGATAAATGGGATGAATGTTTCGGCTGACAACCCAACGTCCCGGGTGTGAGTCAGTGCTGCTGTCTCTGACTGACGAATACGAAACAACTACGAAATCTGTCGTGTGGTGCAGTGTTGCGAGCGGGCGCAACGTCTACCACTTGTCTGCCTGAGACTTGGCGCAGGTGCTGGAACTGACCGGAATTCACGTTGGGGGGGGGATCCGAGTTCAGATTGAGAGTAGTTGTTACGGTCCACTGCCTTTCGACCGATACACACAACTCTTGCGTGAATACCAATGTGTGTAATCAAACAGACCCTGAGTATAGTTCGCGGGTACACCTTACGGCTGGGTCCTTTTAAGTGTTGTGTTGTTAAGTACAGTGACTTTTCTGGTCTGGACCACTGAAGCGTCCCAGCTAGCTTGGGGGGGGGGGGGGGAAGAGGTGTATATCGCGACTAGACGGACCCGATTGAGATGTTTGGCTCGATTCCCAATACCAATCCATTTGACACATCGATAGCAACCGCTTATTTCTACGTAGCCTCTTCGCTAGTTGACGGACCTCGTGTCCCCTATTTTTCGACCTTTACACTTGGCCATGTCATGTTGTATCGTTGGCGTACGGGATGCGAATGTAAGTACAGTGCACACAAATAAGAGTAACAAATGTAATAAACAAGAATATTACGAATGCCATAGAGCGACTTCAAAAGTTTTAAGTTGTTACGTCATCGTAACTTGGTTGCCATTACTAATCACGCGACGAAATGTAATGCAATAAGATGGCTGGTAGCTTAGCATGGTAACATCAACTCGCACTGTATGTAGGGGTGGATGGGTGGTACGTGGTGACAAGCTAACGCAGTCGTCCCTGATTCAATGGACTTGAAATCCTGGGAATTCGAACCATCCATGAGTACGAATAGAGAAGCATGGCCGCACATTTCTCCGTGAAATGACACCAACTCCTTGACTATGCTTTAGCGCGGATGAAAATGCTTGAAAGGATAAGTTAACTGACATAATTCATCCGCCAAATGTGGTTTTTGGCACTGGGCCTTCAGACAACAGTGGTTTTCAGGGTCAAACATTCAAGCTGCTTATTCAGTGAAACAATACATACCAAGTAATTTGGGTACTGTGATAATGGAACACACTGTTAAAATTTGAAACTAAAAACATGTCATATTCTGATAGACGAATGGTAAACAAGCGCAAATGGATTACGTTACATCACTTAACTGAGGCGAAGAAAATGTTACCCACTTAGGAGAATCAGTGCAGTTGGTTTTGGAGCAGCATTTGGAGAAATAAGAAGGAAAGGTGAAAAATTGACGAAAGCAAAATGGTTCAAGTGCATGCCAAAAGCCCAACAAGATTCACGGAGGATCGGAATTTCTCTGAAAGGAGTAAACTTTAAGCGTGTTGATGAAGTACCAAAGAGGATTACTTAAAAGCGACGGATATTAGCGTACAGATACGAATTTCTGTCCAAATGTGATCAAACAATTTTCCACAAAGTAAAGTACAAATGCGCGAAGCGGCGTTGAAGAACGGTAGACTATACTTCACACCATTATAGATCTTCCAGAATTCCGACGGTATGCTACTGCATCGTCCCCGACTGCTTCACCCACTCCTCTAGTGAGAACACGAGAGGTGCCGAAACCGGAGTATGTCCCAACAGACAACGGTGTTTTATAGAAAGCAAGGAAATCAAGCAGCGTAATTCAAATTAATCAGTCTCAAGTGTGTTCGCATATTGAGCAGAAGTTTACTTATGAACGGCCGTAGATGTGCGTTGAATTTCAAAATGAGTTCTATTCAAATATGCTAAAATTGCGTATTTGACTTGCAGACTTTTGCATCGACGTTCGAACAACTGGCATTGATTAATCCGTTCCAGTAACATATACGAACGTTTGTCTTATTGTGCTGGGATCGACAACCTAACAGCGCAGTAACACTGGGGTTGTGTGACGTGATGTCCTCCAGCTCACCGGAAGTTCAATAAGCGTTGGGTTTAACACGTTTTTGGTACGGCCAAGCTTTTGCGACTGTGTGGCTCCAGCGATTTTTCCTAATCACCCACACATGATGAGCGGAAAACGTCCGTCCCAACAAGTTTAACTACATGAGCGCCGGATTGTAGCCTTAAGAATCACAAGTTTGTTTTGCAATTCGAGGGCACGGGTTCGAGGCTGCGTAAGGATCGGGTCACCCTAGCAGTATCCTTCGCTAACGTGCGACTGGTAATGATTGCGCGGCAGCACAGTCTCAGTGCTGTGTACCTGCATACTACTGATGCCTTTCTTTCTTACGAGTAAAATAAGTTCAAGTTCAAGTGAGACCGGAACAGTAGGATAAATCCCCGTGAATGTTCCTTCCGTGACGCGTCGTTGATCCACGGTATTATTCGTCCGCGATAACTGGAATCCAGAAGAGTCAGATCAGCGCGCGCGAATCACACCACGGTCAACCAATTAATACACACGCGACCTGCACTGGCAGTCCTCGCCGCACCGGTCACGTGAAATAAGAAAGAGAAGTACGAAAGTAATAAGAGCGTCAAGAAGAAAATAGATTTAATAATAAAATAAGATAGTACATCACACCGTTCGCACCTCACGACCGCAATGTGAGCACGTAAGACATGTCAGGACAACATTATATAGATTGGAAATCAGCTTCGCTTAAAAAGGTACAATGGTAAATGAAGCAAACCTACTAGACATGTTGAAGCCAACCACCGACATAGGAGGCACTGAATAATGCAAGCGAATGAGAAACGGTGGAAATAAGAACAAATGACGCGTGTCGGGAAGAAAACGGTGTTAGCAGAAGTGGAAACCTGACATAACATACATTACAAACGCCGTATGCTGGCCAATCAGATTAAAAAAAATTAGGGCGTTTACACAAATGTCAATATACGAACCATAGAGAAACGAAAGTCGGTAACTAGGAATTGTCACAAAATATATATGTCCGGTAGGCATCCTTCTAATGTCATCCACTATAGATAAACAGCACTACTGATAATGCAGTATCATTGGGCAGTCGGAATTGGCGGACCAAAATTCTGGACCAGCAATGTCAACTGACACTATCAGTACAAAGCAGCGCAATGGATTCTACTGCGACAAGCAATTGTCGGCGAACAGCCTTACCGAGGCAGTCAGACACAAACGTTCACTCTGTGTAGTGCATTAGCATAAGTTGGCTATCCACAGCACTAAATGAGGGCAAGCACAGAGGTGGTTTGCACGAGTCACCGTATTAACAGAAGCTAAACCGTTGCAACTCATTGTGAAGGAGCGACTACCGTTCACTGTGATGCCGCTATGAACCTCACGGTGAGGTGAGTTCCGAACATCTTGATGGTAATGTCCTGACCTAGCTACTCCCACAATTGAAAAACGATACATTCGCCTGACCCGGTTTTGTCAGTTACCTTGGCTACACGGTCGCCTGGGTCACAATGGCTCGTGGCTGAGGTTGCTGCTACGAGTAAGTGCGGGCCCTTGATCACATGGCCGTGCGGCTCCGTGTCAGGTGAATTCACGCTGTATCAACAGTTTACTCACTACAAGCAATAGTCCCTCTGGTGCGCACCTGCCTATCCAATCAACTGTCCGACCATAATGTAGCATGTTGTCACCTTAGCTGATCAATTTGAATTCGAAACACGAAAGGAGATGAGCTTGTTAAACCCCTCCGGAGTGATAGACTACCGGAAGTCAAACCACAAAATTTTGTTGAAG